ATCGCACCAATCATCAGAATGCTGCTCGTTCACATGTTATTGACAACTATTGTCTTTTTGATTCTGACTGAAAACTCCTGCACAATTTTTGCTTGAAGATTGATAGGTTGGCTAACAATCACTGTCCTGTATGTAATGAATATTTCCCATCTATTGAGATTATCTGAGGTGCATGTTGGTACTATTATACAAAAAAATGAAGTAAAAAAGTTCTCAGCAAGAAATAACATAGATCCCAATAACATACTTGAAGAATTACGAGGACTTACCTAAATAAAAGAGATGTTGATCACTTAAATTTTTCTGATTGTTTCTGTATTCTATCTTTGTGGTGGTCAATATACATATCGTAGTCATGTGATCAAATTTTCTCAAGATATGTAGGAATTTGTTACACGTTTGCCTCATCATCCTTCGACACTTGATGTTCTTATTGTATGTCATCACTCTTCTGATGGTAAAGCATTTAAAGATTTAACGTATATCAATCTATAGTATCTCGTACTTTTCACTGATTGAAGCTTAATAATCATTATTATTCAAATATTGTCATTGACGAAGAAGTTTTGTGGTCATTACTTGAAAACAGTTCATTCAATGATCAGAATCCACAACTTGAGGATATGGATGGTGAAATAGGTGATGAAAGTGATGATGAGATAGACAACCTCAATGACTTTGTATTGAGTAATTTTATACCTGTTTCTATTCTTATTCCTAACGAAGAGAGAGCTGTTGCTGATGCACTTGTTCAATTATAAACAGATAATGCTCCTGTCATGTGACCATATATAGATGTGTTCCTGTAAATGAATTCCAAACTCTTGGCTACATCACTTGTACCTTTTCAACTTTATATTCTACTAGTGCTGCTGATCTTTGATCTGAATGTATTAGGGATGTAAAGCTGGCTGAGTATTTTTCGCACTTGCTCAAGTATAAAGATGGACATTTTGCCTATCATGCATGCTGGTGTTATATTGCTTTGAACTCACAAATGAGGTGAAGAGCCTTGCAAGAAGGTAAAGTATATGTAAAGCAAAGCTTAAATGCCCAGTAGTATACCATTGAAGATTTACAGAAATTACTTAAGAATGATAGTTATGTAGCAGACCATATCGTATGATTTAGTGAAAGTTTGCAGAGATCTCGTCAGTTTTGGTACAGATGTTAATCAGAATTGTCTGACATGATTAAGCAATTAAGAACTCAGAGGATGGTATTTTTTACCTTAGCGCTGCCAATTTTCATTGGCCTAATTTATACAAACTGATGCCACATAGTGAATTTCTGAGTACGTTATCAGAACAGGACGTAAACAAATACAAGTGGCAAGACTTAATCAACAATTCTCATATTACCACTTGGTTTTTTGAGAAAAGGTTTAAGTTGCTTTTTGAAAAGTTTTAGTATTGAAATGGAATCTTGAAGATTAGTAATACTGATTCAAGTGGCAGTATCGTAGAAGTTCTTAGTATTGCTAAAAGGAAAGATGTACCTGTTATTGATTAGAATAAAATGAAAGATAATGAAGAATTGATGAATAATGTGGTATAATATCTAGATTCTTTGGTTACTACGATTAATCCTAGTCTTAACACAATATTTCCCAAATGTCATCCCTGCCAAAAATGTTCTGATGAGCAGCAGTATGACTTACAGGATTATATCGATTTAGTTAACAAGCTGCAATATCATACCTGATGTAATCCTTCTTACTATATTCGTGTTGATCGCACTGGATAACAATATTGCAGGTTTAAATAACCAAAAGATATCACTGAAAATACATACTTATAAGATGATAATGGAAAGTCCAAATTAATTATTGCAAGGAATGACCCACTTTTTAACCCTCACGACCGCTTATAGCTTCAAGGTTGACATACAAATGTTGACCTGAAGCCTGTTATTAGCATAGATATTGCATTACATTATATTTTCAAATATGCGAGTAAAGCAGAACCTCACTCTGCTACTTTCTCAGATATTTTATCCACAATTATTAATGATAGCAATCTAAGTGATCCGTCCCTTGCAGCAATTCAAAGTTCACTGCTTTAGACTGTTTTGGAACATGATATATCCACTTAGAAGATGTATCATTTACTTCTTTGCTTTCTTCTTTATAATTCCAGCTATCAGTTTGTCTTTTTAAACCTCAACAAAGATGCTTCTCAATAGCTCTGTGGATCTGGAAATGCTCTATTTTTAATAGATGATGAAGTTGGTCAGATGGTGCAATCTCTTCTTCAAAAATATTAGAATTATACCGCTGAACTTACGGATCTTTAGCTTTTTCAACTTTATCAGAATTATCATTATTTTAAAGGTCACTGAAAATGACGCGAACGTGAAAATATCGTGCGTGTTTTGCTGCATCCTTTCTCTCACTATAATGGTTCTTAATGGGAAGACTTTTGTCGAATTAAAGTTCTTCTTTATATTAGCTATCGTGATCTAGATGCTTTCTTTAACTGAGAATAACAATATCTTCTAGTCTGATCTCTTTAAACATTACCAAGAAAGAATTGAAAATATTCATGATTTACTTTGTTCACCTGTGCAAAACCTAAAAGATGATATTTCTGAAGACGAAAGTGAGAATAATGAAGATTTGAATGATAGCGAATATGAAGGTGAAATACAACCTGATTAGATGATCCTTTCTGAAATGAGACCTGATGCAATGTTTGAGATTTCTTCCAATTTAGGTTCCCATGATATTGACAAAAATTATGATTAGTTTTTGATCTTAGACTCTATTACCCTAATCTCAATCTTGCTATCATTCCTAACTTTATACAGCAAGCTCGTGAATCTACAAATTTTGATGTAAATTTTCCTGATTGTATAGTAGATCCTTAATCTTTGAATGAGAACCAGATGATAGTATTCAAGCGAGTTGAATCTCATTACACTACCTTACTTAATAATCCTGAATACATTGATCCATTCAAACTTATTGTGTTAGTAACTGCAAGTACAGAAAAATTGTATTTAATAAAGATGATTCAGAATCATTTTTATGAAATTGCACGTGATCACAATATTAATGTTTCACCTGTTATGCTGCTTATTTCAACCAGTATTGCTACATTCAATATTCACAATTCAACCATATATTCGTCATTTTCTATTCTGGTATCTGTCAAAACTTTTGATTTAACCAGTGAAAATCTGAAATGGTTGCAAAGTAAATTAGATGGTGTGTACTATTTTATTATTGACGAAAAAAGTATGGTTAGTCATTACATACTTGCATTGATTGATTTGCGTCTATAACAAGCCTTCCCATAATGTAAAAATCATGTATTTGGTGGCATTCAATAATTCTGGTTGGGGACTTTGGTCAACTTCCTCCTATACTAGATGAACTGATATACTCTCAAGTCATTTGATGAGATTCTTTATCAAGTGATACTATTACAGTTTATCAACAATTTTGTGAGATCTATCATCTTGACATCGTTCAACATCAATCAGGTGATTCAAGTGAACAACGCAGATTTAGAGATCTCCTATTGCGTTTGAGTGATGCTGAATCTACTGAAAATTACTGGATGTTACTTGCTACTCGATTTTCTAATACTCTGGATATGTTATCCTCATTAGATCATGCTCGTTTCTCTAGTGCTACATCTATTATACCATGTAGATCTGATGTTGAGGAGTTTAATATTAATAAACTCAGATCCTTGAATTCTCTAATTGCTAGAATTAATGCTGTTCATATTGGAGTTAGAGCTCGTAAAGCTGATTCTGATGTGGTAAAAGACCTTGAGCCTTTCTTATTATTGTCAAAAGGTTTAAGAATAATGTTTAGGACTAACTTATTGACTGAGGCTAATTTGGTTAATAGTTTTGTAGGCATTATTCAAGAAATTATTTTCAAAGAAAATCAGTCTCCACCTTCTCATTCTCTTTCTATTGCTGTCATGGTGGAGTTTGATAACTATTCTGGCCCTGCTATTCTGGCTGCTGATGGGAAAAAACTCATTCTGATTGTATCAGTTAGGCATACCTAAGAAGGGAAAAAAGGCTCTTGCTCTTGTTTGCAGATTTTACTTTGCCTAGCATGGGCAATTACAATGTATAAAAGTCAGGACTTAACATTAGAAAAGGCTGTAATAGTTTTTGGAAGAAAGTAATTTGCTACTGGCCTCTCATTTGTGGCAATACCTTGGATTCTTACTCTCAATAATATCTTTTTCAGCCTGTTTTCGCTCAAAAGATTCCATTGCATTAAAAATTGTAAGAGGTTGCATGAGAGAATAGCCAAAGAGAATCATTTAATCTTTATAATACCTCAAAATGATTGCTGATTAGCGCACAAAAATCTATTTAAATTGGAATTTTTTTTAGAATACAGAAATTCATTTTTACCAGAAATATGCTATATCGAAAATTTTAAACAGTTCTCAGAATTTCAAAAAAACTTTTTGTCGAAAAATAAAATACAATATTTTTAATATGTATAATTTTGCCATGATACATGTACCTATTGTAAATTGTAAATTAGTAAATTAATACTTCAAACATTACAATGGTTCTCGTTACCTAGTCTTAGTGATCATTGGTGATATTAACTAGTACAGTAATTTAGTGATGCAAATGGATTATCACTAACAACATCTAAATTATATTATATGTTATTAAAGAGACTTAGATGTTTCTTTCTTTTATGATTCTTGTGATGATAGAAATAGCACATAGTTTTTTATTATTATTAGAATATCCTGATTATACAAATCTTACAGAAAAAACATCATCTTCTATTATTTACGGGTGGTTCAACTGACCTTAAAATACAAAACGATTTTGATTGAACTGAAGATAACCCAGCTAAAAATTTCTTTACCTCATTTTTTTCAACATATAATTGGTTAAAAGATGATTTTTTACAACAGGACATATGGAATTTTTGGGCAGTAAATGTTATCACTTTTATTGGTAACATTCTTTTAGTAACCATTTTACAAAATATGTTTATTACTTTTATGAGGTATGTTTTATTTCATTTTCTTCAAGTTTTTTTTTTGAACCTAATAATTAACATAATTAAATATTTATTACTAGGAGTATGTATTCTAAAGCATATGAGAAAGGTCATGTTGCATTATTGAGATTGCGTGCAGAATCAATATCAGATTATGAGGAATTAGATAAAATTTATTTCTATCCTCAATTATCAGAACCAAAATATATTTGTTATATAGGCAAATTCAAAAGTTAAGAAGAATGGGATATGAATGTTAAAAAAATTAATAAGGATAGAAATTTATATAATGATTATGAGGAGAAAATTATTGAAAGAAAATTATTATATAAGGAATAAGATGATTATTCCGTTAATGATAATAGTTCTGAAACTGAAAAGAAGAATGAAGAAATTAATATTAATCAACTTAAAGAGATAAATAGTAAGATTAATAAATTACTTGATGCAATCATTACAGCTGATTGCTAAATTATGCTAAACCTCGTAATTATTCAGTTTGAAATTTTGAATTTTTTTTGTATTCATTAATATTCAGATTGAAAATATGCAATACAAACTATTGAAATCTCTTTGAATAATACATATTAATGCGTTCTTTGTTATATTGTTACTTGTTTTCTTAAATAAAGTAAATAATGCATTTATGAAGTATAATGCATGCTAACATCACTCTTTAAAATATAAACCTAGAAAGTACACGTGTATGTTTTGTGGTATTTGTGAAACTTGTGAGGTATATGTAGTAAGTGGTAACCATAAATGCCTGAACTAAAAGACTTATATAAACATTTAATGCAGGAAAAAAAAGATGATTTTGTTAAATTTGTTTTAACAAAATGCTTACTGTTATATTTAAGTAGGACATTTCGAGAGAGTAGTTTAGAAAGGAATCTTTTAATATTATCAATCCTATATGAGTTCTGCTGAATCCAATTTCTTGTAAAAAATACAAATAAATCACATTAATGTAAATATCCAAAAAAAAAATTTTTTTGTTTGTTAATATTAAAATAAGCTTTACCTTGTTTTTTATGAAAATAAATCAAGAGCTTCAGTGAAAGATTTATTATCTTTGTCGACATTATACATTACAAATTTCTTCGTAAAATACCTTAGTTGAAGGAATGTGGGTGAAATTTATTCAAATTAATATTTTGTTAAGAATATTTTAATGTAGACTGTATAATTCAAACAAAAATAATTCTTAATAGATTAACTTACGAAAAACGTGACTTAAAAGGTAGATATTTTCAAGTAGTATGTAAATAAAATAAAGTATAAACAATGTATTTAATATCAAGATTTAGATTATTAGTAGAATAATAAGGGATGCGTTTTTTTAATAGTAGAATGAAAATTTCTATAATAATAAAACAATTAATTATTGTTTGGTCACATCTCACATGATGAATATGTAATAAATTATATTTCTCATACAATTTAGATTATTAATAACAAAATTGATTTAGTATAGTAGTAACAAACTTACCATTAGCATGAAACCTAAAGATTTATGATGAAGTTAAATCATTAGAAATTAACACAATAATGTTAATAAAAAATGAATAGCTTTTTATTTATTTTTGTTGGTTTATTATTTTATAGATTAAATCAGTAGATTTGCCACTTTGGTTTGTCACAGTAACACAATAATATAGGTAACTTTTTTTATTATTTTTACTTAATTTTTTTAATTATTAATAAAATCTAATGGCTTTTTTTCAATTTTGATTAGAACTGATTCTGCCCTTTTAGATGTAACATCCTTTAGTTCTTTATGACAGCGCAATCAGATGCATAATAAAAGTTTCTTTTTATTATTGTTTTATTGTTTATTATTTTTACTAGTAATTCAGCTAGAATAATGCCTCAGATTTCAGAAACAATAAGTCTCTGATATATTTTAAAATTACCAATTATTATTATTAATAATTAAAAAAAAAGTAAAAAAAATCAAATTATTAAATTAAATAAGAATAAATAAAATTGAAATTAAAAATTAATAAAATATATATATATATATATATATAAAAACTATTCAAAAAATAAAAAAAATTTTAATAAATTAAATAGAAATTAATAAAAAAAATTAAATGGAAGAAAGAAAGACGAATAAAAAAAAAATATATAAAATATAAAATCTAAAATAATAAAGAAAATTAATAAAAAAAATTAGAGAGGAATGAATAAAATATAAAAATTAAATAGAAAAAATAATAAAAAAATTAATAAAAAAATTAAACCGGGGAGAGAGGTCAAATAAAAAAAAAATATATAATTAATAATCATTTTTTTTCAATTTTGTAGGTTAAAACTGATTCTGCCCTTTCAAATGAATGCAAATACAATATTTCAAATAGACCCTTCAGCTAATTGTAGTGGCACAATTAGGTGTGTAATGACTTGATCCTTTTTTTGCATTGATTGGGATTATTAATCCCATTTTTTCCTTTTTTTTATTAAATTTTTTTTCTATTCTCTCTAAGATAATTTCTTTAGATTCAGATTGATCAGTTTATTATAGCAACACAGTCAGATGTGTGATGAAATTTTCTTTTTATTATTGTTTCTATTATTTATTATTTCACTCATTTATATATTGTAAAAAAATAAGCTTAACTTTTTGATCACTAATTTAATAGATTAAATAAAAAGACAAAACAATTAGTAATCTGTAAAAAATCCCGATCGATCTAATCAAAGTCTGAATCTAACCTAAAAATTGTTAAGAGAAAAAAATAAAAATGTGAAACAATACAAAAAAAACTAAAAAAGAAAAAAAAAGTAAATCACTTATCTTTACTGTGATAGACTGATTATTAAAATTTGAATTAAAGCTAAAATTGTTTAGAGAAAAAAGTAAAGAAAATTAAAGTTAGTAATATAAATAATGCAAAAAATAAATAAAAAAAGAATCATCAACTATCAACACATCGATAGAATGATTAAATTAAATGAAATCATTCAAATTAGATAAAAATGCTTTAGATAAAATGAATAAAAAAAAAAGAATAGGAAGGAGAATGAATAAAAAAAATATAAAAAAAAATAAATAAAAAAAGTAAAAAAATAATTAAATTAAAAATAATAAAAAAAAAGAATGAAAGAGGAAAAGGGAAGAGAATAAAAAAATATAAAATAAAAAATTAAAATAAAAAGATTGCGAAGGGATAAATAAATTAAAAACAAAATTAAAAGAAGGAATTAAAAAGATCACAGGGATAAAAAAAATATAAAATAAAAAATTAAAATAAAAAGATTGTGAAGGGATAAATAAATTAAAAACAAAATTAAAAGAAGGATTAAAAAGATTGCAGGGTAAAAATATAATAAAAAAAATTTAAAAAAAAGAAAAATTAAAAAATTAAAAGATAAAAATAATAAAGATCACAAGAGAATAAAAAAATTAAAAAACAAAAATTAAAAGAAGGAATTAAAAAGATTGCGGGTAAAAAATATAATAAAAAAAATTAAAAAAAAAATTAAAAAATAAAAAAGATTATGGGAGGTAAAAATATAATAAAGAAAAAATTAAAAACTAAAAATTAAAAAGAAAAATAAAATAAGAAATTAAAAAGATCAGGAGAGAGGAAATAAAATATAATAAAAAAATAAATTAAAAAAATTAAAAAAGATCACGAAATATAAAAAGAAATTAAAAAAATCAGGTAGGTAAAAAATATTATAATAAAAAAAAATTAAAAAAATCGGGGATAAACTATTACAAACAAACAATTAAATATTTTATAAATGCAATAATACCAAAAATACCAAATATCATTTAATTTATAACTTAATAAAA